TTTGTCTCTTTGCACTTATTGCAAGAATTGATTGACTTTTTTTTATTCCACTTTTCTCTTTTTTTTTTTCTTTTTTTTTTTTTGAGGGCTTATGTCTACAACTTTAGTCCTTTAAGGCTTGATTCCATGACAATTTTGATCTTTTCCCTTTTATGTTTTTTGTTTTTTTTTTTACAACTTACTTTACCTCTAATGTGAAGGATGACCCTATTTGGATTTTCTTAAAAGAATAAATTCAACCCAAGGAAATAAATTGACGAGTGTTTATTCTTCATTTCAAACTTAGGCTATCAAAAATGATAGGTCATGTAACTAACATATTTATATGATATAGGTATCTTCAAAAATTTTAAAAGAAAATTCTAAAGAACAAAGCTAGAGTTTTGAAGAGTCAATATGCAATGCATATTTAGTTAAAGAAACATCAATGATCTGTTCATATTACTTCGAGCCTCATGTCCATACCGGATATCAAAAATTGCCACATAACATTAAGTGTGCTCGAGAACCAAGTGATGATATTGAAGGAATGCTTGTTATATTCAAACCGAAAAGTTGATTTTTTGGTCAAGCGAAATCACATGTGTTGGCAAATAAAGAAAAAATTGCATCTCATACTTACATTTTATTGAACTATGATGAGGTGACACCTTACACTACGTGAGTGCTAAAATTAGCAAAATTTTCATTACAAAACTCCACTAATTATAAATATTTAATATTAAAGATAATAAAAATCTTATAAGTTTTTTTCCTTACACATATATTTTGTAAGCCAACTTTTTCAAATTAATCATAACATATCAAAGCACGAAGTTAAAGCTTGACTTAAAAATGATTTTCCATCATGGTTTCATCGATATGTTAGTATCATAAATTAAAATTTTTTTTTCATTGAGATGAAGTTATGAAATTTAATCGTAATAGTAAGTAATGGATCTGGACTTTACGAGCAAGTAATGCACAACCTAACATAATAACCAACCATTACATTAAAAATCTCATAAAAAGGCCATTGCAAATAGCTAAGCCATATCTAGGATATTGTGTGAATGGGTACAAGTTTTACATCGAAAGTCATGGTTCATATAGAGCAACAATGTGTAGTAGAGTATGCGTAAAAAGAGTTAGTTAAAGTGTAGAGGAAAATGACTATAATGGTAAGTGGACTGATAAACTAGAATTTGAGTATCCAACATTACTAATCAAGAGAACCATATTATTCAATTGTGATTGGTATAATACTACATCCGGCATTGGTACAAAAGTTCATGATCAGTATAGACTAGTAAAAAAAATAGTTGTAGCATGTCAAACTGATCTAATACCTTTATCTTAGCAACATATGCACATCAAATGTATTATGTAATATATCCTACATTGAACCGCATCATACATGATTGGTTGATGATATGTAAGGTAAAACCCCGATCAATGATGGATGTGCTAGAATCATCCGTTACGGTCCAAACAATTATGGAATCATTTTATGAAAATGAAATGGAAGCCTAATACAATGTAATCCAAGTTGATGATGATGAAAGTCAGTCATTGACTTATCCAACTAGATCATTAATAAATTTTAAAAGGGGTGAAATTAATGAATAGAATGAAGGTGAATTTGAAATAGATGTTGATGAAGACCGTAACAATGAAGACTAAGATAGTGATTGTGGTAAGGTTTGATTGCCCTTCACAATTTACTTTAAATTATGAAGGTAATATATAAATATGTGTGTGTGTGTGTGTGCATGTTTTAATTTAATTATAAAATTATTTATTTATGAAAAAATAAATATATTTTAGCTTGTTTATGTTAATATCTATATTTTAGCTAATCAATGTTACAATGAGTAGGTTATGCTTCATGGTAGGAGATGGTCTTGCTTGTAGTGGCCCATGTCAAATGATGAGGGTCATGATTCGGACATTGATGATGGTAGTAACCATAGATGTTGGCATACTTCTACTTTTGTTTCGGGTTGGATGCCCTCCCACATCAAGATGCCTACGGACCACTCTTCCTCGCCACCATGTCAAACCCATCATCGTTTGACATTTCTCGGCTTGAGTTGCATTATTATGGATCTTCATATCCTCGTCCATCTAAACCTTCATCGTCATTAAGGCCCTCGCCCCAACGAACGACTATCATGTTTTTGAAAATGGCTTATCGCTAAACATCCCTTTTAGTTTAGCTTCTACACCTATCGGATCGACGTTCGTGGTTACTATCATTAATGGTAAGGAGTACGTATTATGCACATTTTTTAAAATATTTTTGGTATATTATTATATTTATGTATTCATTTAACTCGTTAATTTATATCTTTTTTGATAGCTTATATCATTCTAATATTTGCACTCGTCGTCTCTTTAAGACATTCTATAAGCATGTTGACATATCTAGATCGACATAGAAGTCAATTAGTGAGGAAACTAAAGAGCTCTATTGGAGAGAGTTTAAGATAGTTTTTAGCATAATTTATTACATGACTATATATTTTATTTAAGAAAAATTAATGTTAATTTAAATATACAAATCGTTTTTAGCATAATTTATTACATGACTATATATTTTATTTAAGAAAAATTAATTTTAATTTAAATATACAAATGAATATTTTTAACGTCCTTGTAAAAGTACTTTAAGTGGGAGTGGGATATCGAGATAAGCATAAAGAAAGCATGACGAGTCTAGCATAGAAGTGATATTTCACCTTTCTTTATCGGATAAAGAAACAACCCAAATCAACATATATCTCAAAGGAGATATAGGATTTATGGCATAAGAACTGGGCAAAACTTGAGTCTCATGCTTGATCCGAGTCGGTAGCTCGAAATCGCAAGAGCGAGATAGGTGGCATCAAACCCGGCCCATCTAAACATACGAGAGGTTCGATCACCCATATGCAACTCATAATACATGTGGTAAATCTTATTTTTATATATATATAAGCATTCAAGTATATTTGTTTTAACGTAATGAGTTGGGTCGTAAACCCGATGCTCATGAGGTTTTCTTGAGGACCCAAAGGAAGAAGGTTGATGATAAGTACATATTCATCGATTAACATGCTAGAATTCTCGGAGTAAGTAATTTCATAAGCTTCTTTTCTACATACATCACTTTTATTTAACTTACTTAGATAATTATTTAATATTAAAATTTATGCAATTATGTAGGAAATCGTTGAAAAAAATTGAGGTTGCTATTTAGGAGACAAAGAGTATTTCATCACTCTATATCAACATGAATAAGCTTTTTAATAAGGTCTGTTAGAGGAGGAGATAGTAAGAGGAAGGGATATACGGACTCGGGTCACAAGCTTTTCACTATTACTCTAATGTCGGTACATCCTCTAATTTGGTCACATCGCGAGTTCCATGTTGATATTGACACGCAACAAAAGGAAATGAAGGCTCAATTTTCTAAACAAGCATAAAAGATCAAGAAACTAGAAAGTATTGTTACATCGCTCTTAGCTACTATAAATTGGTTGTAGAAATATATTCGGGAGTTCCATGCAATGATACATCCGATGTTGCTGAATATGCAAAGAGGTAGTTCATCCATAGATCCCTCGACCGATCATCCCTCGTTCCTCCAACTAGCGATCCCATCGATCGCTCCTAGCTTTTATATTTTCTTTTTTCGAAATATTAATAAACTTTAAAACAATTCTGCGTTTAAATATGTATTTCATTTTATTAAATTTTATATCTTATAAACGTTCTATAATATTTATAAATCTATTTTATAGCGTTATTATAGTTGTTAAATTGGAAAGGATTTTATTTCTCTAGTTAGTGATTAAATAAAAAATTTAAAAAATTTTAAAAAAATTGGAACGAATTTAGCTCTAAATTTTTTTTTGACATTTTTGCTAAAATAGTTGCTAAAAGTGTCGCTAATTAAAGATGGATTTAGCGACAGATTTAAAAAATAGTCGATAAATTAGCTATTTTTGGCAACGAGATTTGATGATGGTGTAACAAAATCACCACTAAATCGATGACCTTAATTCACAAAACTCGTAATGGATTTTTGGGGGTTTAGTGATGAATTAACCATCGTTAATTTAGCAATAGTATAGAAAAACCATTTCTAATGATTTAACGATAAGGTTTTTTCGGATGGTTTTTTACCGTTGCTAAAAAATTTTAACAATGATTTTTTAGAAATTAGCGATGGTTTAAACCATCATCAAATTCCCTTTTCTTTTGGTAATGACCCCTGAATTTGTTTTTCAAAAAAAAAAAAGTTGGAATAATTATAAAAACCCATTTTAAATACATTTATTCAAAAAGCCCATCAAATTATTTTTATATCTACAAAACCTAAAGAAAAGTTTTCATACTATAAAACCCAAATATTTAACTTCCACTTAGTACCGTTAATCCACTTTGGTTTTTTGGCATGAAAAAAAAATCATTTTAGAGTTCTATCAAAATAAAAATTATTAAGTTTTTATACTTATAATATTAAAATATGTATAAGATATATTTATATTTACGAGTGATTATATAGTATGCATAATTATATTTTATACATAAATTACACATGCACATATATAAAAGAATATAAGTTATTTCTTTCAATTTGCAATTGTGGTTTCAAACTATTTTAAATAAGCATCTTTTTAACTTTTATCTAATCACAACTACGATCTAGGAAGAAGAAGTTTACTATAAACACATACATATAATTGTACAAATAATTTAAATTTTTAATATTGCAAATCAATATATAATTTGTAAGAAATTTTTAGCACTAACATCCATTGAAATATTTTTGTATTAAAAAAAATTCACACCAAAATATTTTTTGGTGTTAAAATTTGTTTGGGATTTTACAAAAAAATTAATTTGATATGGTTTTTTAATAAAATAGGTTTTTGCAAGTAGGTGTAGGTAATCATCCTAAAAAAAATTTATGTAATACCACAAAATTTCCTTCCATTTTTAGGTATTTTATAGTTTATTCACATATGTAAAACTTGGCCAAAACCAATGGTGTATTCAATAGAGCGACTTTTCCTTTTCTTGGCTCTGTAATCATGGGTTAGACACCCTACACTTGGATGCACACTTAACCTATCTAGCAGTAACATAAACTTCACAACGAGAAAAATGCAAAGGCCAAAAGGTTTGGTGCATAAAAATTGTTGCTATGCTAGCTAACAATGGCTTTACTTCCTTCAATAAATGCTAAAAGTATAATTCTCATTTTCAAGGGTTGCCAATTTGGTTCATTGTTTTAGGTAAAGTTGCCAAATAATCATTTCTCATTTTAGACAGGTGGAGGATCATGCATCCTATAAAGGTATGAAATAAAACAAAAATTTTCTTCATCTATAGAGACTAAGATCATGTCATTGAATCAACTAACTATATATTCATGAATTAAAATGATGAATAGAGATTTACCTCTTATAGCATAGATCTAAATTCTTTAACAAAGAAAGGAGCCATCTAAGCATCCGACCTCTATTGATTATCATGTAGTCCTAGCAAACACATAGAAGTACTAAAAATTGGTAGAGTGTTAGCTCCACCTTTTCTAATTTGTTTAGTGTTTCCTATAAAAATCTAATCTTTAAAACCTAAATTTTAGATTTTCATTATTCATCATCTTCAACCTCTCAATTTCTCAAATTCACTTAATTCCACTTCAAATGAACGTTTTAAGCCACTTACCCATCATTTAAACACCTAGAATCACTTAATCAAACTTTTTCCTAAATGGGTCTCAAAACCCTAACCTTAATTTAATCAATTCCTCATTGAAACAACACCTAATGCAATTCAACTTCAATATCATAACCAATTACATATAAACATTCTAATTTAAAGATCAATTGATAAAAAATCTCACCTTTACACTTCGCCCTTCAACTCCTAAGTTCTTCATAGTTTACCAAGCTCTAATCTAGTTAAGCTCCATTTGAATCTTCTTATGTAAGGTTTTCCTTAGCTAATTTAATAATGACTTAGCTTAGGAGTTAAAGAGAGTGAATGGGAGAAATGGGAGAGAAAAATACATGAAAGAGAAAAGAAGAAAAGAAAGGAAAATTCTGAAAAAAAAAAAAAAAGAGGGGGGCAACTGTTACCCCTTTATACTAGCCTAAAATTTTAAATATTTTTTTTTTTAGGTTATTACACTTACAAGAAGAAATAGCTATTGACCATGTAAAATAAAGGACACAATCATGTGGTTGTCCAAGTAACAAATACCATATGAGTAGTAGCTTTCCATACGACTAGAGTAAGAAATGTGACACGACCATGCATATGCCAAGATTGAGATATCTTCTAAAGGGAAAAAAAGCAACACACGTGCAGTAGCATTCCACGCGATATGCACCGAAAAGGGACATACTTATGTGTGTTAAAGCTAGAAAAAATCCAAAAGACAAAGCCACAAAGGCACATGGACGGAAGGAAGTGCACCGGATGAAGTTCAAATTCCATACGAACAAAAGCCAAGGACACGGGGTGAAGTAAAAGGAGACATGAGATGAAGTGCAAAAGGCACAAGGTCTTATGCCTCTATCCAATAAACCGTTGAACACCAGCTCTCCAAGTTGCCAAACTATGTGAGATTAAGTAGCAAATCATGTACCTTTACCAAATAATCTGTGTGACCATGTGGGACTAACATGTGTGTGTTGTAATCCTATTTTTAGCTATAAATAGTGAGGCTAGGGTTTTATTTTGAGATTTCCACTTTAGCGACCACCCCTAGATAGAAAATTCTCTTTTAATCAGCCATAAATCACTAAACATCTATCTTTGTTGAAGGAAAGTTGATTTTTTTGGTAAAATCCTAATGAGATCTTGATGGGTTCTGATTCTAAAATTAATCTTTTTTAGTATTTTTATTTTTGTATATTATTTGATTTTGATTGTGTGATTAATTGATTAAAGTGCACGTTAGTTTCTTGATCATCATAATCCATTGCCGACTAAATATTCAAGTTCATGTAATTGTTTATCTAAACTTGTCCGTGGTAATAACTAAGGGTTAATGATTATCTATGCGTTTTTTCTTAATCCTTTGGAAAACGTAGAACTTGATTATATCTTTCTAACATCTAGAAGGATGGTTTAGCTTCACTTGTCCTTTTCTATTTAATGTTTTTATTGGATTAAATCTAACTAGTGTTTACTAAATTATTCAATAGCTAGAGATTAATCAAATAGTGTTTGTTTGGGTAACAAATCAATAAGGAAAGATTGTGGATAACATACTTTTTATTGTCCTATAGTGAATACTCATGTTAAGAATAGGTTAATATTTGAATCAATGATCGCCGATTAAACCAAAAGTGAATACTAAACTTTAACCAAGGTTTTTTCTTATTATTATTAATTTTATTTACTTTTGATTGCTTACAAATGTCTACAAACACAAACCTCTTTTTTCATTTTCATTGTGCTTTAGAACAATTACCTTAAAGAAACCATTGATTATACCAATTTTCCGTGGGTTCGATCCTTCCTTGTCGTATCCACAATTCTATGGTTAGGTTCCATAAGAAAAAATAAATATAAATCTAATTTATTGGTGGTACGATATGCCATCAATAAGTTAATTTTTTGAGATGAAATAGCTTTTTCAAATAATATCGGAGACTTGATGATTAAATAATTATGAATTTAAATTCTATTGTTTTTATTTTATTTTATTTTTAATTAAAATTAAATAATTAAATACAAATTATCAGTACACAAGTGTAAATTTTAAAATTATCCATAATTGTTTTACATTTTTATGTTAAAAATTTGTGTAGCTTATTAAGTTTTTTTATCCAAAAACTTTGCTTTTACTTTTTTAGACCAATTACTATTAGATTCACACTTCATCTAGGCTATGTTTGTTTGGGGGCAAAACAAGTTCTAGAAACTTGTTTTTCTTATTTTCTAATGTTTGTTTCGCGTTTAGGAAAAACGTTAACAAAAAATGATATCCAATCAACGAAAAATGATATAGTATTTTTGAAAAACGTTTCCCGCAATTAAAAAAAGAAAAACATTTTTCTTCTCACTCGCTCTTGCGTTACTTACCTCTCTCTCTCAATATATTTTAATAATTTATTTCTTTATCTTTTTTTGTTTAAAATATATCAAATTATTTTTTAATTATTTTTTTATCAATTATTATTAATTATTTAATTATTTTTTCTCTATTTCTACTAGCATTTGATTTTTTTATTTATAAATACATTACATATTCTTAAAAACCATTTTTACACCTTAAAATTATTTTTATAAGAAATATTTTAATAATTTATCTCTTTTTTTTACTATTTTCTCGAAACACTACCTAAACTATACTTACATGATTGAAAATCATTATTACAAGACTCGCAATCATTTGTAAAAATTTTAAATTAGTTTATTTATTAATAAACATATTATTTTCTCAACATTATTCATTTGCAACTAAATCAATAATTTGTAATTTTAATCGATTATAAAATGTTATTGGTAATTATAGTGAATAATTAGTTACAAATTATTTCAATATTAATCTTTTGAGATCAAATGAATAATTATCTATAAATGATAACTAATAATTTGTAAAACTATTTTTAGACTAAATTATTAGTTCAATTTCAAAAAAAAAAAAAAGAAATCTTAATTGAGTTACCAAAATAACAATGTAGGATTACTTAGATTTTTTTTTTTTACTAAATGTGAATATTGACTTGATTTTGCCCCAAGTGATTTTGATGAATTGGTTTGACGGTTAAAAAAATACGTTTTATTTTATGAATTTAAATTTTAGAATCGGTATTTATGAAAAATTTATTAAATTTTTTTAAACGTATCTTATATTGTGAAATTATGAATATACATTTTTAAAGTTTTATCAAAACTCATTGAAGTAACAATCATATACTCGTTTTTGTATTTTAATTTTTTATATCAAACAAACGCTAGAATATATTTTTTAATAATTTTTTTATATCATTATCAAACGGCAAAAAATATTTTTTAAAAAAATAACTTTTTAAAAAATTAATTTTCCTATAAAAATTATTTTCTATCAAATAAACAAAACCATAACTACAAAGTAATTGTCGTCTCAGCATATGTTCATATACGTCAGGGCTCGTTGTTGGCTTGCATGCTGTTTCTACCTAGCTAGCTAGTTAGCCTAGTTTACATGACTGAAGAAAGCTTCAAATATTTCAAATTAAGACTGCTTGTGCCCCGCCTCATGTCGCCATGTCCCTCTATCTCTTTAGATTCTAGAAAGCATGGATATGTGTGCTTGCTCTGTTTTCATTAATCTTACGCAACAAAATCTTGAAAAAAGTGCACCCACGTATTTCTTCCAAACGCTGTCAATTTCATTAATCATTCTGAATGTTTGGTTTCGATTCCAGCTAGCCATACTGCGGTCCCACTATTAGATTACTTCAGTTATTAATTTTATTATTTTTTCACCAAAAAGACGTTTAATAAAAATTTCTCTTTATGTAATTAGTCCTTTTGCGTTCCCTTCTTTTCCTATGATTTATGTTGTCAGAATTTTACCTTCATTACTAAAACCTAATGAATCTGGTCCAAAAATTTGCCTGACGTGGTTGAAATGATCACCACCTGCTTGGATCAAAGATTAAAAATATTAACTATCGTGTAAGAGGAAATAAAAATAAATCTTATTGTTTTAGCTGCACATGTGAGTAATGAAACTCCATGATTTTATTGAGATGCTTAAAGCATTTTTAATGATACTCTTTATTTTTAGTTAGCATTTTTAATGTAAATAGAAAGCATCATTAATTATATAGATTGAAGATCAGTATCCTCTTTAATGTTACTCTCTAGTTAAAACTTATTATTTTGATAAAATCTATAAAATCCGAGAATTATTGATGAAAAGGTCGAAGTGAGCATAAGAAATAGTAATTTTCATTAATGAAATATAAAATAAAGAATCATTTAGACTTCTACAGTATTGAAGAGTTAAAGATACTCTTTATATCAATTCTAAAAATAAAAATTATGACAAAAAGAGAAGCATTGAAGATGAAATTTAAATCAAATCTCTTTATTATAAAAAAAATCTTAATATAAAGAAAATATTAAATACACTCTTTTATATATATAATAGATACACCAACTACTACCTTAGCTTTTGAATTGAATGTAGCGTTCGTTTTTATATACAAATTCTTGCACGTGCGCAAGTCCATAGAGGTGCACACATGTATATATTTCTCACTGCATATCCCTACATGGTTGGATAAGCTGCTGTCGTTGTCTTCTAGTGGTTAAGCAGGTTGTATATTCACATTGTTTCTCCACCTCTTCTTGATTGAGAAAGGAAAATTAGGTTGCAAACCTAAAGACGTTATGCTCGAATTTGTTTAAAATGTTTTTTTGTGGACGGAAATTTAAATTTGAGTTTCACATGTGTTAAAAATGAAATTTCAAATACTTAAATATAAAGACTTACCAATTTGCCTGTAGGTGATAAAATATTATCCATTATTAATATTTATAGATCTTTACACTTAGTGTGTGGGTATATATATATATATATATATATATATATATATATATATATATATATAATGCTTAACCCTCTTTATATATCATGCTCCCACGTAAGACTTACCAATTTGCTATGAATATAAATTTTTTAATCAAAATTTTATATTTAATTAATTCTTTTTCATGTTTTCATTATTTTTCAACACAAAAAAAACAAACAAACAAACAAACATAAATCGTTCTTATTTATGCATTTATTCTTAAATAAAAGTTTGTAATATTTTAAATTGAAAAAAATTAATCTAATATTCAAAAACATGCTATAAAAATATATTTTTCATAAGATTCGTATCAAAAAATAATTTTTTATTTTTATTTGATAGTGATGAAAAGATTATTTTTTGAAAGTATGTATATTTGATTTATATATATTTATTCACAAAATAATCAATAATTTCAGTATAAAAATATATATATTTGAATCATTGATTGTCCTTTTAAAAAATTATTTCAATTATTTTATTTGAAAAAATAATTTTATGATATTAAAAATAATAATAATAGCAAATAATTGATGTAATGTATGTAGATGAATAGTTAATTTTTTATAATACCAATAATTCAATAATTTTTTTTATGTGTTATGACTATACTTAGCGAGGTTGAAAGTGTTAAGCATAAACCAAAAAACATTAAAAAAATAGAGATAAATTATCTAACATACATTTTTAATCTTTAAATTCAATATATTTTTATAATCATGCCACCATTATTTTAAAATTCTAATAATCCGTGATATAAATTATATATATTGTTTTTTAAAAAACAAAAAGAAAAAATCATGTTGTATTTTTTTTCAAATTTGTACATAGAGAAAATAAATTATATTTACCAATAAATAAATTTTTTCTAAAATAAAAAATTGATTGGATGAGAATTTTCAAAAGAAATGATAAATTGAAAGTATAAATTTTAAATAATAAATATAATATAATCTAAAATATATATTTATCTTAAAATATGAAAAAAAATATTGTATATATTTCATGGTAGTTGGAAATACAAAAAATAAAGTTTGATCTTCTATAATTTCCCCTAAATCAAAACAAAAGTTTTTTTTTTTTTAAAAAAAAGAGATTAAACTGCAATTTTTTATTTTTTATTATTATTATTATTTTTTTTTTTGCAGCGACCTAATGAGTGTTTTATTCAGAGCCTATGAGTGATTATCTAAAATAACAGAAACAGTAAAACTGCAGTATTTTGTCAATTTGTTTTAGAACTACGCAAAAGAGGATGTCGTGTACGTGTGGGGAAAATTTTCCTAGTGTGCTTTTGTGGTTGACCATTATGTACGAGGTTAACCTACGCCCCTTGTCCGTAAGGAAGTTGATGACCTTCTCCATGTCAAATCTCATGTCACTGACACCAAAAGTTAAGGAGCATTTTTGCCTTCAATTATGTGATACTCATGTCATGAACTAACTGCGTATAAATATTCTTTTGTCATAAAAGAGAAATAAAAATATGTTAAGTCACCCTTTTTTGTATTTTCCTTTTTAAATTTTCAATGAAGGGTAACTCCATTTTCTTTTTTATAATTGGAGACTTTTATTTTTCAAATTGGATAATATAGGTTAATCTTGTGTTTATATTAATTATAGCATGAGTTTTCAATCTGTCTTTCGGTTATAATTTCATCTATTATGTCATTGATTATTATTTAAATATTCAATTTATTATTTCGATTAATTTTTTGACCATAGACAAATTTGTTGAATCAAAATGTCATTAACTGAAATATTACAAAAAAAAAAAAAACCTAAAGACTTTAAAAATAGAATATATAGGTATTGTGACTTGTGATTTTTTCCTTTTTATTTCGATTAGGAGTATTTTTGTCAAAAAAAATTACCCATTATTAGAAAAATTAATGAAAAAGACAGATTGAAAACTTAAATAATATTTACAAATATAATATATGCAATTAGAAACGAGTTAAATATATCTTATGTGTTTGTAGTATTCGATAATTTTTATTTTAACCCTTTTATCTAGATACAGTACATAATTAACCTTGTATTATTGGATGTTGGTTTATTATATCTAGGTAAAAGGGTTAAAATAAGTTTTATTGAATTGTATAAGAGCATGAAATGTATTTAACCCAATTAAAATCTAAGAACAAATTAAAAACTCAGTCTAAGGATAGATTAATTTATCTATCATATTAAACTTTTTGTTTTTTACATTAAATATTAAAAAGAAAAAGAAAAAAATATTGATTTAAAATATTTCATTTTTCTCTTTTTTAATTTTAAATAATTTTTTTAAATACTCTATTTTTTTTTAAGGCTTTTCAATTTCCTTTTTCCATTTTTCAATTTTTTTTTAGGAATTTTCAAAATTTTAATTTATTTCTAATATTTATTTTTCTCAACTCTCAATACATCATCGAATCTATGCACAGCTCTTGTAGCGTAAATTACTTTGGAGGGGGCGGTTTTTTCATTTTTATTTTTCGATAAATATTTTGGAGGCCTCTCCGGTCGGCCTCCTATCAAAATGTTAAATTTCATGCTAATTACTTTGCTTACTATGTTATAATAAAATAATTTTTTTGAAAATGCATAAATTTAAATCTAGATAATTTGTTTAAAATTTGATTGAAAAAAAAAGGTTTCAATATATAAAAACTGATTTGAAAATATTTTTATCATTAAAACCCAAAAAAGTAAGCAGAGCTCCGCATATAGAACATTATACATGTTCTGCAAATGAGATTTGAAAAAGGACAGAAAATCATGTTCTTATTTACAATGCATTTCTAATTGAAAGATGCCAATTGTCATCCATCTGCCTGTTCTCTATCCTGGAGATTTGGTGGCTTGCAAATTCAGAAATGGAACGGGGGTTACTGCACCATGTGCTCGACCTTTTAAAAATGAAATCTCCATGATTTTTGTACCTGTCTTGAGATGATAAAAATCGACCTCATCTCTTTTCAAATTATTCCTTTAATTCAAAATATTCCACCAGGATATCCTTGCGCGATGGTCTCATATGGCTATGAGCCAACAACCATCTCATATTTTATTTTTATTTTTTTTATTGGAATAGCTATACTGTTAGTACACTAGTTTCTCACCTTTTCTTAATTCAGTATACAGAGTTTAATTTTTTTATTTGATTACATAACTTTTTCAAAAACTTTCAATTAAGTACTTTTATTCAGGTTCTCTTAATATATATATATATATATATATATATATATATATATATATATATATATATATATATATATATATATATTTTGCTAGTGTATCCTTTGACCTCGAATAAGGAAAAACTGCATTATCAGTATACTAATTTTTATTTTTTGTTAATCGAAGTCATGGTTTTATTTTTATTTTTTGTTTTAGTATACTTACTGTTTTGATTGTTCTAATAAAGTATTTTTGTTAAAAAAATCTAATAACTTATTCGTTTTATAATGATATGGCAATTGACTTTGTGCTTCTAACTTCAAACTTGGAGTTTTCTTTTTCTTTGTAGATAAGTTACTCTGAAATAATATAATATATAGTTAAGAAGTTCTTTTAAATTAAAAAAAAATTATTTATTTGATTAAAAAAGAGAAAAATAACGCACCACAAATAAATATGGTTATTTTTAGAATCATATGATATCCGTTTATTTGGCTAAAATAATGAATACACTAATTATATCAATAATTTATTTATTACTTTTAATTAATCATAAAATGATTTTTATTCATGATATAGATGATTTGCCTTTTACGAGAATAGATAGACCAACTTGATTTAAGTACTCAAAATAAAAGGATTTAATTTAAGTGTAAATTACAATGTCTCCCTTCATGTTAAAAAGAATATTACATAAACCCTTATTTGTACCCAAAACACCCTTAGTTACTATTAAAAATATATATTTAAATTTAAAATTATATATATATATTCTTAAATGTTCATATTATGTCAAATAGGTTATTGTAGTTTAACTTTATTTTAATCTAAAATTATTTTGTTTATTAAATATATTATTATTTTGGATGGATTTTTTTAAAAAAGATTGCCCTAGATTTGGAGTTCGTAAGTCAAAGTCAACTACCGTGTAATTAGAAAAAGAAAAAAAAACGGATTTTTATTACTTAATTGGCACAATTGAAAAAAAAAAAAATCAAGAGTCCACATACTTGATTGAGCAAAAGTAAAAGTTGGTGAAAACTTTTCTTAATTAAGGTAAGGAAACACATCCGCATACAAGATTACAACCGACAGAAGTTAGATTAAAATATTTGATTAAAAGTTTTGAAAAAAAATAGTGTAATAAAAAAATTAAAATCTTTCTAATCAATTAAGAAAAAGTGACAAATTGGTGTACTAACACTCTAATTATTCTTTCTTTATTATTTTATCAAAAGCAAGATTATAATTGGAATAGACAATGTCAATTTTGTTACCAAGGCGAACAATTGCCAAAACACAAGTTTGCTAACCTTTACTGCAGAAAATAACTTTACTAATAATACTAAAACAAATTGAAAAAATATTATAATATATTTTTATATTTGAAAATGAATATATATTTTACATTATATTACTTTTATTCTTTAAAATTTATTCTTTTAATTTGTCTTTTTTATGAAAATTCTCATCTAATAAAATTTTTTATTTTTAATAAAATTTTATTTTCTTATAAATATGATTTATTTTCTCTATATATAGATTTTGAAATGAATTTTTAAAACATAATCATTTTTTTCCTTTTTAAAAAATAAAATGATATAATTTGTATTATGGACTTTTAAATTTTTTAAGTGATGGTAGCATGATTATAAATATATATTTAATCTTAAGGTTAAAAGTATATTTTGAATATTTTTATGTCTTGTTTTTTTTTAAAAGTTTTTTCAATTTATGCTTCACACTTTCAATCCATTTCATGATTTAATATATATATATATATATTAAATCATCAGTTATTTAGAAAAAAAAATTTACTATATATTTGCACACATAATATCAATTGTTTGCTATTAGCTTTTTTTTTTTAATATCATAAAACTATTTTTTTTCAAATAAAACAATTGAAATAAATTTTTAAAAGAACCATGCAAAAATTCAAATGCAATTTTTTATACTAATATTATGTATTATTTTGCATATAAATATATATGAATTAAATGCACATATTTTTAAAAATTAATTTCTCATCTGCATTAAATAAAAAAAAATTATTTAATTGATACAATCTGATGAAACATATATTTTTATACCATTTTTTTGAATTTTAGATTAAATTTTCAATTTAAATTATTACAAATTTTAAGAATCAATACATAAAAAAGAACAATTCATTTGTTTTTGGGGTTGAAAAATTATGAAAAACATAAAAAGAATTAATTAAATACAATATTTTGATTAAAATTATTATTATTTTATTTTTACATTTGATTCAATATATTTTGATAAATTCGCAACTCGACATGGACTATCAAATTGAAATAATTTTGTTCTATTTAACTCACGGCGTAGCACGAGTAATCTAGTACTACAATGCTAAGTATCTTGTAATTATTGAAAAAAAAATGCAATGCTAATGTGAGTTTGTTCCCTTCGTTATCATTAAATTTTGAATTAGGAACAATAGCAAAAAAAAAAAAAAAAAAAAAAAAGAAAAAAGAAAAAGAAAAAGGAGAATGCACCAACCAAGACGTGGATGTTATGTTCAGAGTAGCTAATTTTGTTTTGTTTATGTTTGTTAGGAAATAAGAATATAAGATAAAACCATATCTCGAAGCTTAATCCAATAACTTAAACTTTTAGGTTTTAATATTTTTTTGACATGATACAAAAACCTTAATGGTCAAAAGATTTTTCACTTGAAGAGTTGTATTAGAAAATAATATAAACATATATCTTAAGAGCTTACTCAATAACTTAAGTTTTTGGGTTAAAATGATTTGTTGACATATTAAATTTGATAGTTAAGTCCGTATTACATTAAAAAAAATTAAAGTCTTATAGTGGATGACCAATTTTCAACATTATAAATCTCTTCTCAATTGTTTATTCAATTTTGAATATGTTCTATGATATTTTTTCTCACTTGCAATTTATCTTTTGGTATTGTTAGGTCTTTTGGATTTTAAAAGTTTTTTATTAGACCACTCGATCTTTTTAAAAATTTAATACTTTATTAAATTTGATAGTTAAGTATGACTTCTATTAAATAAACTTAAACATAATAGTGAATGATCTATTTTCAATTTTATATACTATTCTTACATTATTAATTTATTTAATATGAGATATATTTTTAATACTATTGATAAACCTCATATTGGTCAACAAAACAAAACACCAAGACCTCAACTTCATCT